ATATAACTAAATTGAATGGCTAATTAATATCGACAATAATATTTATTACCTTATATCCATTTTTTTAATGCATTGTTTATACAGCATGAGAATAGTATGAGTATCATCCCATAGTAGTTGGGAACAAGTATTATCATTTATACGTTTATCCATAATCTCACAACTAAAATAGCTTTACATTAGTTTATTGTATATTATTTTCGATATTCATAAAAACCTAGAAGACTAGAGAAAGGAGACTCCTCTCTTGTCATCGGGCTATATAATATACTAGAGTGAGCCTTTCCCGTAAGAACTAATATGTAGTTTGCGGCCAAAGAATTGCAATAATAGATTATCTGTTTTCTTTTCACATTTACTACCGTTATGATAAAGGATATTATAAAAACAAAGACATCAGACAGATTTTTTATAATACAACTCTCTCTTTTCCACAGTGGGCCACCACCGCTCTTCTAAGGCTCTTACCAGTATGTTATATAACTAATTAAGTTATAATTAAATTATAATTACTAAATCGGATCATATAATAGTGTCTGTACAAACATAGTCAACGTTTAATTGAACATTTGTAGAAATCGATTAATTAATAGAAGCATAACTTACTTTTTATTAATATCATAAATTAGAAGCGATTCTACGGTACTAGCAGCTACATTTGTTCCCGTAGGGTCTAATGAAATTGACTGAATCAATTTCTTGCCGTTATAAATTGTTTCGTTTTCTTCCGCAGATTCATCATCTTCAAGTGTATTTTTCTGTATCTAAACAAAAACCGACTTTTTACCTTCTACATTCTACATTAACATTGCATAATTCCAAATTTTTTAATCTTACCTTTATTAAATTTGAAGAACTTGATACAATATGTTGCGTTGTTGCTTCTATATTCGAAACGTGTTCACCATATACATTGGAATCTGTTTTTAATTGTTGAAGATTTTTAATGTTATTCTGTGATTCAAATCTCCAATACCTAATACTGCCATCTCTGCAAGAAATTTTTATAAAAAACAAAAAGAACAAGAAATAAACATAAAACAAAACTTATAAATAAATATTTACACGTGACCGCTTATAAGTATATCATTGTAACAAGCAATGCTTGAAAATTGACTGTTACAAGTTTTTGAAATTTGGCTTTTCCAAATGATATCGTTCTCTGCACGAGTAAAAGCTGTAAGGGTCTTGTAGTGATAAAACGAAATTGTATTTTTAGTCATTTTTAGGCATCTTTTCTTTATTTCTATGGCTGTATTATTTTCTCGGGAATTTTCAAGTAAAAGTTTTATGTAATTCACCCTATTTATTCCATATTTCCAGTTGTAATGCGTAATAAATTTAGAATTATACGAAGATAATAATAATTTACATCTATAAAAGAAAGTAAGACGTACGTTCTTCAATGTGATCTTATGTAAAATCGTGAATATTTTATGTACTGATAACATGTAAATATTAAAATGTATTTTAAAAAGACAAGCTTATAAAGTTCAACCAAGTTTTGCACAATTAAAAATATGGCAAAAGCTACGACTTAATGTTAATATGTGTGAAAAAGTTTTATGAACATATATTGTACTATATTAAAAAAAAAATATTTTTGTTATCTAATAACACTTTTTTACTAATAATTGTTTGATAGAAACTAATGCCCATTTGCACCAATGTAGATTAACTTTAATCTCGGTTCAACTTACTCTTCATGTTTTTCTAGTTCTAAGAATTAGTAAAAGGTGAAAAGTAAGTTGAACCGAGATTAATGTTAATCTACGTTGGTGGATTTGGGCATAAGAATATGATTTTATTGATTTATTTTCTGCAAAAGTACAGAGAAGGATGTAACGTCGACAGATATAATGTATAAATATGTGATTACTATTTGAAAAATGAAAGGGGCACATTAGTCCCGATGTGCGTGTATGAGAGAATGGAAATGTGATGTAAATAAACCGCGGTAGAGACAAATAGAAAAACTATAGAAAATACATATGCTGGCAAAAGTCGTTATTTGGAGAATTATAATACTGAGAATCATCAACGAACATGTGATTTTAAGACAGAGCAGGAACAATAATATGAAGTAAAAATTATGAAAAATTGATTCGACAGATTACGTGGTTCCTATAAAATTTTAGAATAAATTGAAATAGAAATAAATATTAAGCTATATTTAACCTACCGTTCACGAAATTTTTCCGACATTTCATTCGTAACAAGCAAATGGTTACTTTTTTGATTTAAGGTGGTGTTTGATAAATGATAAAATCTTTTGCATACTCTGTTGAGCTGTAATAAAGTATATACGTCACATAAATCAAAAATCATTAAGAATATTTCGTTCGGTAAAATATCTACGAGAGACATATTTGTCTTTTTAATTGGACGTTATCACACAAGAATATGAACACTACAGTATGACTATCGGTATGTGCACTGAACGCTACACTAGAACAGAGTTGCTAGAACGATACACCGGGGCCTGATCACTGACATCTATACTGTAGGCTGCTAATATCAGACTGGTGTCAAATCTATAATGAACTCCACATATTGAATTTTCGCGCATGTAGAACGCTGATGGACAGCAGTCATCTTTTAACTGGTTGATGTTATAAATGTTATGAATATAATATAATTTGAATTATAAAAAATATATAGTATAGTATATTTATTATTAATAAATATATATATATTTATACTTATTTTATTAAAATATTAAAATAGTTATAATATCAAAATACAACTTTAAAGGTAAAAACTGAAATGTATAAAATAATTACTTATTTGTATTTAGCAATGTTTACGCAATTATAAAGTAATGATGCAATTTTTGAGGATATTTGGAGAATATTTAACATTTTTTCATATCTTTTTAAAGTTAAATACGGTCTGACAATTTTCGATTAAGAGCCGATTGTTCCAATTTTTTCATTGACTTTACGACTTTTGTAGTGTACGACTTTTAAATTTAGAAAATAAAAGTGTGAAATTGTATATTGTTTTTCAGGTTCGACTTGATGTACGGCGTAACAGAATCAGAGAAATTTCACATCCTGCCACCAGTTGCTTTGTTGCACGGCATGCTTGATGGACAACGAGATGAGATCCTGCGAGACTATGCCAAAGTATATTTACTCATATATTGATTCGTTTATACTAATATAGAATAATCCCTGTTCATTTTCTCTTCGTTCTTATTAGATCTACAATCTTGGACATTTTTTTTCTCAGTTCTTTATATGCATAGATCCTCCATGATCCTTAAATTTTTTGTTTCTTGCTTTTTTAGCTTTTTTTTCTTCCTATTTTAAATCCGGCTTTTAAACCTACTGATATTTAGGATTTGTACAATTTTTCGCTTGAAATTTTACATACATCAATTCTTAGATTCATAAATGAAATTTGTTTATACTCTCTTGTTTCTTTGAACTTTTTGATTTTAATTCTTATACGAGGGTGATTTTTTATATCAAAAATGTGTTCTAGGCGACTCACGAGCTGGAGCCGGAACTGATCCTGTCGAAAGTTTTGGAGCAATACGGCGACTTCTCAAGCGGATTCACGAAAGAGTACGCTACGAAAAATCGGGACATGGTGCTAGAGGCGCTCTCCGACAGCGGCACCGTGGCGCCATTAATAATGACTGCCAATTTGCATTCAAAGGCGAACCCGAAGAGCTACATGTACGTCTTCTCGCATCCGAAAGCTATGCAAGACTACTCTGGCGTAAGTAGGTCTCGACGATACAACGAAGATCGATTATCGCGGCTCAGACGCCTCTCGACAAAGCGGGACCCGACATGGCGCGGGAAAAATGTTGCACGCCGCATTAGTGAGCGAGGAAGGGCGAGAAAGGGGGAAAGGGGAGACGGACGAGCGGGGATGATGAGTTAAAGTGCGCTTCCTTCAACGCTCCAATTCGTGTAGCTTCATGCAACGTTGTTATTCCTTGATGCGGAATGTTGCTACTGAAAACGGAGGGCATTTTTCATCGTCTCACTTTATTGCCGAATCTCGAAATGGGAAATTTACGTTTTTTAATTTGCCAACCGCAAAGGAGAAAGAGAGGGAAGGGAAAAATTATACTATGGTTTCTCGCGAGAAGCGTAAAGAATGTTGATTGTTTAGAGAGCAAAAGGTTGGAGAGACTTGAGAACTCTCGGAAATCGAATTCCTTCTTTTGCGAGATTTTAGATTAACAGCCTTCAATTTATCTTTAAGCAGATGCGGTGAGTTTAACTATAAGCTGTTCAAGAGTTCCACTAATTCACTAATTTTTTAGTAAAAAGGTCAATCATAAATTAATCATCGGATTCACATTTGGAAAGATATAATGCAGAATTTTTGGAGTACCCCGACATAGTTAGCGTTGTATTCAGCATCTCTGGTTTCTTAGTCGAAGGGACGAATTGTGACCTAGTGGCAACCATTGTGTTTGTTGGGAGAAAAATCCGGGCTGCGAACCCATTTGGATTTCGGCCAACTATTTTTATCGGCGTTGCGTGCGCCGACGACGACCTCGCCATGCAGTAACCGAGAATATCGCTAAATTGAATGTACCTCCGCGTACAACGCCATCGTCGCGTCAACAAGGATATTAGATTTTAAATCTGCAAATAGCGATTTGCAGCGTGCATCATTCCCATGTCAGGTTGGGTTTCTCTTTTTCTCTCTCTCTCTTTCTCTCTCTCTCTCTCTCTCTCTCTCTCTCTTCTTCTCTCTCTCTCTCTCTCTCTCTCTCTCTCTCTCAATCCTTCCTTCCCTATTTCTTTCTCTCTTACTCCTGTGTACACGGCGAGCGAGCCCGATGAATTTTAATTTCTACCCGTCCTCATAAATTCCGCCCTTTATTGAACTTTACAAATTGACGCGTTTGTAAATACGCTCGGTTTATCGCGCTAAAAATAATTACGACTACGATAAATCTGAGAACTTGCATCCAGAAAATTTATTCAAAAATTAGTGGTAGAATTAACGATGAGCAAGCTTATAATTAAACTTGATATATAAATATAATTCTAAAAAAAAATACTTATCCAGATAAGTTTAAGAACTTAAATATCATTGATCGCATTTATTTTGACATTAGAAAGATACAAAAAGATATATTTAAAGAATTGCAAAGAATTTTTGTATTGAGATATTTTTTAATAAATTTCAAAAAATACATATTTGTACGTAATAAAAAAAAGCATAAATGTTTTATCTACTCTTACGTTTCAAATTGAATTAGTTAAGATTGTATCAGAAATAAATGAAGCTAAGGATCAAATAAGACCACCAAGGTATTAGCAAAAAGATGTTGATAGCCGAGAGTATCAGATTTTAAAGGGTATGCTTAGTGAGAGAAAGAGGAGGAAAGGTGCGAATAGCAGTAGCCTGAGCTTCGATATTTTCGAGTTACGCGAATGGCATCGAAGTGTCGATAGAATCTGTATCTCGGTATAAAAGCACATCCAGCGATCTCGTTACGTTACAGCAACAACGTCAACATACCATGCATGGGGAGGAGTTACCCTACGTACTGGGTGTTCCATTGGACGGCGGTAAGTACGACTTGCGGGGTCGATACGACATCAGAGAGACACTGTTTTCGGAGGCCATTATGAACTGGTGGTGCAGTTTTGCCTATATTGGGTGAGTTACTAAAAGACGACAAATTTTAGATAAAATCTTGTGCACTCTACGTTTTAGAAATATCAAATTATATCAGTTGTATTATTTATATTATTTTAAACTAATTTATCGTCTACTCTTTTTTCCTTTTTTACTGCTTTAATATTATTTTCAATTAAACGCTATAAAATTTTAAGTCTGTTTTGAATATTCTATTGATATCAAGATATATTAATTTTTTTCCATTATATCAAAATTATTTTCATTTTGATGACTTTTGCGTGAGTGAAAGTTTACGTTGATGACAACTTTATAATTTAAATGAGAACTCAATTGCACGTATAAATAACGATGTAAATTAAAAAGCTTTATTTGTTCGAAAATTTGCCAAACAAAAATTTTATATAAAGCATATTTCTCTTGTTTTGCTCTCACTTCCAGAAATGTGCCACGTTTCATTCAGCGCAACAAATTATTAATTTAAAAAATGTAAATAAAATTTGCAGAGTTAGTTGCTGATGATTGCGAGTCTGACGAGAAAAATAAACGATTAAACAAATAATTTGGAATTTAATGTGGAACGATCACGGTGTGCATTAAAGTTAAATTAAAGTTGGTATTAAAAGTTGAACGTATGAGTGGCGGCTACCATGTAGAAACAATCGTATTTAATAACAAGTAGTGAACAATTGTTGGGCGTTGACGCGAAAATTTGTAGTTAGTAAAGTTGGACTTGGAAACATACATATTCGGGAACGTGATTTTCAATTAACTAAACATTCAAGGTGTTTAATTAAACCAGACGATATTATATATTTTTTTCCATTGCGCATTTGAAAATCAAAATTTATGGCTGTAAAAAAGATGAATAGTCTTAAGAACAAATTTTAGAAGAAGAAATTCATACAAAAATGAATAAATTTAGAAACATAATTTAGAAAATTTATTTTTGAAATGTTTTATGAATGGCAAATTAGTCAAAAACTGAATATTGAAAATAAATACAAAATATGCAAACATCAGAAATTGTTCAATCTAATTATATTTAAAATTAATTTAAATTACCAAATATCTAAAGCAAGTAAAATTACAAACATAATTTTAAGCAGAAATAAATTTAAAGCATTTTGAAAGCAAGGTATTATTTTGTTTTTGACTGTTATAAAAGTTGTTATCTGAAATACTGAACATTGTTATGTTGATTAATACGCATAATAATGTTAAAAGAGTTATAAACAATATTTACGATTGCAATATAATTTAATTTTTATCATTTGGGAACTCTGTTTAATAGTTTTTTTCACCACAAATTCTCTTTAAAATAAATTACTAAACTTTTAACTCTCAGTTTGTTTACTCGTACGTGTACGTGTACGTGCACGTATTTAAATTTGTGTCTTGTGTATGTGTTCAAATTTCGGTCTTGAATTAACTCGGCGCAATTTGACGCTTGTTATGCTGATGTTTGATATTGTCGAATTAACGATCCGGTGAATCGGCTGTTTTAATTTGTACGATGAAAGCAGATTATCCGCAGCTCCGAATTATTTCGACATTTCGTTTTTTCCAACGAAACATTCCACTTTATTCGGCTGAACAAACCCAATGTTTTTGCGATATAAAACCACGCTTTGTTTAAATCAGAATATTGAGTTTCTAATAATTTTATTAAAAAATTATTCGCAATTGTTCAAAATATCGCTATAATAAAACTTTAAATTATATATTACACATTTGAAACTGATTGTGAGATAAAATTTGTGCAATACTAAATGCCCAATTTTCAATTGCATTCAAATTTTATTAATTTTTATATATTTTTATCGAGTTGCCTTTTCGAAAGTTAATTAATGGCAGAAATCCGTTAGATCACAATGTTGAGATTTGAGAGTTTAAATTAATAAAATTATTTTAAACATTTAGATTAAAAGAGAAAATGGATTTTATCATTTTAAATGTATCTACTAAAAATTTACATAGTCACGTCGTAGGAGAAGTCAAGGAAACACAATAATTCTACAGTAGCGGGAAGGAAAGAGTACTATCGAGTATCCCCACGGACCGCACACACATATAGTATCGTCTGATATCTCTCCTCTCATATCACACCAATTTCCTCACGGTATTAATCCCAAGCCGCCCTGTATGGCTTAACAAAAGTTATTGGGCACTTTCGCCGCAACATTAATCACTCGCGATTATTTATCAAAGAAAATACTCGAATCCCCCAGGAACCCCAACGTCGCCAAGCGGTACCCCTACCTGACTAACGGGTTCAAGGAATGGGGCCAGTACGAGATTGAGTGGCCAGAGTACGACCCTGTCAATCAGACATATTTCAACCTAAGTAAGCCTGCAATAATCTCGATACCACACACACAACACACTTTAAAGCACGAAAACGCTAATCGACAAATTTTCACGTTGAAAGTTTTCGTCGGATTTAATGCTCCTTCTAGTCACGATTATAAACTAAAAGTGAAATCTATTATCTTGCCACAAGAATTTGATTTACTTCACGAACTTGTATAATTTATTTAGACGGAATATTCTCTCTTTTGCGCGCAGCTATACCGCCTAATATAGGTGCGCACTATCGTTTGACGGAGATGCAATTCTGGAACGAGAATCTACCTAATCTGCTCAGGTACCCGAATAAAGACGTTTCGGATCCAACTCGACTGAGAGGACCTCGACCGCAGATTCTTGACTTTGCCGATGGAGTCGGCAAATATGCTAACAATACCTCCAACCAGAAATACGAAAGCTACAATGCCAGGTTTGTAATGAAGACTAATTAATTGGCCGGCTAATTAATTTCACGCTTTGTGCATTACAAATTCTCACAATACGTTATTATCAAAGCGGCTTTTACCTTCCGGCAATTGAAAAGCTTGTATGAGATATTCTAGAAAAATATATATATATATGGATGTATGTTAAAGATAAACTGGAAAATTTATTTTAGAGAAAATTGAAATAGTGTTTTCTCTGATAAAAATATTTTTATATCTTTATTTATGTTATGGATTATATATGTAAAATATTTTTCTAGTTAATTAATTTTGTGGTTCGTACATTTTTCGTACGAATAACGCATCTCATTGCAACGCAGAGCAAAGTTTCGCCATCTAGTAATTAAAGGCAATTAAAATACTTTAGAAATATATAAAAAAGAATTTTTCTCAAAACAAGTGAAAAAATTATTTTATAAGAAGTTGGAATAATGTTTTTGCTAAAAAAAAATTGTTTCAGGTGCTTATTAAAGTTACGAGTTATGTAAAATACTTTTCTAGCAGATACACAACTCCGTCTAGCGTCACGAACTCTGGTGCAGACAAGTCGCCGTTTTCAATCGTGGCTACAACAAGTAGAAAAGCCAACGACGTAGAGAATGTAGAATCGACGGCCGAGCCAAGCGCGTTAAGGAGCTCGTCGGTGATGATGATAGTGATTGTCTTCTTCGTTGTATTTATACTGATAAACTTCACGGCTTTTTTATACATCTACTATAAAAAGCAAAACATGAAAGGGAAGGAGAAACCGTTGAAGAGGCGAGCCAGCGAGAAGAAAGACGACTCTGTCAAGAAGTCGAAGACTGATAAACACGAGAACCATTACGGCCAGATAGGCTACAAAAGTGACAGCAAGCCAGATTTGAACGATGTGATAAAGAATGACAAAGCGTACGATAACAACTCTAACTTCGGACGCAGGTCGAAGCTGTCGAGACAAAACTCAAGCTCCACTATTGATACTCACATCAAGGTTCGAGAATGGATTCAGCAGGAGATTGTGCATAGGTCAGTGGATAATATTTCATATTATAATAATTTACATAATATTCCTTTTACTCTAGAACCAAAATTTTGATATTTTAAATAATTATAATATTGTATCCGTGCTTTAGTATGAATATTTTGATAAGATTAAATTAATTACCTTTGTGATACGTTTTAGTATTGAAATGAAACAAATACCTTTTTAACTACAAACAATTTTATCGTGAAATATTGGTAATAAATATTGGAGTTTAACATTATTTATTGTTTAATATTGTAGAATTATTTAACTGTTTAAATTTTAATTTTATTTATTTTGTGGAACTGCTTTCTCAAATAACTAATTATTATTATAAGTATTCTTAAATAAGTATTATTATTATAAGAGTTTTTTTAAAAAGATTTTAAATCCTTTTTTTAAGATTTCAATGTAATTTTGAGAATTACATTTTCAAGTCAAAAATTGAATAAACATCTCCACGTTTGGAATAAAATAAACATCAACTTATAAGTTCATTAAATTCTTTGTCATTCTAACGTCATTTGGCTGTACGCTATTTGCTACTCTCGTGGCAGTTCGAACTCGATTTCTACGTCTTCCCTAATTGCGAAGAACTGAAGACACTCGGAGAAACGCTTACCCTCGCAAATTTGTCGATCGCGACGAGGGTTGCGCGACCCAGTAATCCAATTAGGGTTTTCGCTTAAAGAGTGGTTGCTTTGAGACGTGGCTCGTATCACTCAAATCAAGGGATTCAATTCCCTTTCTCTCTTTCGTTCTCGGATATTTCTTTAGGTGTATTGACTCACGGAAAAGGTTGGTAAGGGCCTACAGAGTTAATTAAACTTGTTAGAACCGAACTTTGGCTTTCGTCATTTAGCAACCCATATCTGGTTTGCAGATTATAGTATTGCTTTTGCATGTGTTGTCACATTAATGAAAAATAAAAATGTGAAAAAATTGACAAATACATTTTTTGAAATATTTCTATTTTGATAAATTAAATTGTATGAGACTTAGCAGTTTATTAGGCCAATGTGTTGTTTGTGCGCAATTATTTATATTTGTATTTTCTTTGAATCTCTGAACAAAGAGACATTCTGTTTGTGCGTGTAAATTATTAAATTATATTTATTTTATAATTTTATTATAATATTTATTACAAATATATTATTCGTCGGCTTGTTAACGCGCGTAGCTGTATAACATATTGCAAAATCGTACTTGAAATAAGCTTCATTATAAACATTATAGAATGCCGCGTTTCAAATAAATAAATATGTAGGTCATTAAACAAATTTAGCGAAGTTATGTTTTGCTTGCCAGAGTGATGTGTAAGATGTATAGCGATTGATGAACTCCGAGATGTAAAAGCGCTATTGTCACTGTTTGTTATCAAGTCGTGAAATTAATACATATCTTTCATTTGTGAAGTGCACAAAATAGCATACTACGATCGATAACTCTCGGATAATTGGATGTAATAACCGGTCGGTTATAACCAGTTAACTGGCAGCATTAATAGCGCTTATTTTGAATTTTCCGTAAAATTTACAGCGTTGTTGCTTACACATATTGCAACATTAATTTACACAATGGTCTCCTCCGCGAAAATATTATTCATCTACAAAATACTTTTCAATAATGCTAATTAATTCTCCAAAACTGTTTTTCATCGTAAACATTAACTAGATTGTGGAAAAAAATTACAAACTGTTGAATATGTTAAATTATAGGCAGAAAATCCACTTCATAATTAATTCAAGAACAACGAATTCAATAGTATTGCATTTTTAAAGATTGTTTTTTCAATGATTTATTGATATTAATTTATTTGGTTTGCTTAAAAAATTTTTCAAGAATTATTGAAATCGTGAAATTGATCCCAATTTTATCGTTTAGCTTTGCTTCTTGTAGATGTTCGCCAAGGTTTCTGCGCAAAACGCGGGAAACATTGCAGAAGGAGCATCAGGAGAAACTGAGCAAGCAACAGCAGGAAGAGAAGCAGCGCATAGAGGAGGAAGCGCTGAAAGAGAGAAAAGACGAGCCGATCTACGACACTGGTCCGGCGCTGGTGGTGCGTCCTGGAAAGAAATCGAAATTACCGAAGGTTTCTGTCGCTATCGACGCCACGCCGGCGACCAGAACGGAGTCTGTCTTAAATCAGATGCCGATCGAGTTGACGAAAAGTATCGAAGCAACGAATGAATACGCGCCGAATCTAGATCAGCTTATTGCGCCTGAGGTGGTTGTCATCGAGCATCATCATTCCAGGAGCGATCCTTTGCCGATGGAGAACATCCTGAATATGATGAAACCGAATTTCTCCACTCCCAGGATTCACGAGTCGGATTCAGGAAGTGCAAATAGCCTGTATGCCAGAATTAATCCTAAACTAAAATCTCGTCTGCCTCGCCCCGGCCTGGGAATGGAAGTGCCGTCGTCCGATCAATCTAAATACGAAAATCTTTCCGAGGAGATTTATGTGCAGAGCGGAACAATCTTGACGACCTTCGGCGTGGGCGACGTAAATGTCACGTGTCGGGAGCCGATCGTGGAGAGAGAATGCATCAGTCCGGAGGAAGCTCTAAGGACGATCAAACGTCGAAACTATCCCAAAGTGCTGCCGGATATCGAGAAGAGACGATCACTTCCGGCACCGAGTAGCCTCTTTGTGCCGAAGCAGCATGCGAATTCGTTAAAGGATTACAAGAGCGGGAATCGAGTGAACTTGTTTTCGAGTCAACCGCCGTTACCACCTCCAAGAATGTTCGGGCCCTCGAAGAGTCTCGAGAAAAGCGATTTCTTCGCCGAAGAAAACGAAAACCAAGTCGAGGGCGAACCGATGACGACGAACCTGCATGTGGGTCCATTGCTGAAGAAGCAAGAGGCCGCGAAGAACAATTCTGATCCTAGCATAATAGACTCCCTGGAAGAAAGCAGGAATGTTCAGGCGGGTGGAAGCGTGGATACCATTTATGCTAATCCGAAGTGTCCACTTCACGGAGGTCAATATCCGTTCTCGCCAACCTCGCAGAGCGTAGACGAGGACATCGGTAGGTCCACTGGGCTTCGAGAGGCAGGCAATCCAAACTGGTACAAACCGGGCGAGTCCTCGGCCATTATGGCATCGACCGCCTCGGAGCCTCAAATCATGATTGGTGCGGACGAGAAACAATTAAGCGCAACGTTGCCAGCAATGGAACCAAAGATCGTGATCACACCGAGATTAATTAATCCGAGTTTACCAGCGCGCTCCGAGAACAAAATCGAGCACGAGTCGAGGTCGGCTGAAGCGGGAAACCGCAGTGGAAACTCGGAGATGTTGGAAGCGGAAAAGAGAGAGCCGCGGATAATCATCACGGCGCGGGAGCCGAAGAATTGCGCCCCGGCGTGCAGTCTGAAGCAGCCGAAGATCATCATAAAGCCGACGGCGAGTCTGCCGCGAAGCAGGGATCAAAGAAATATACCGAAGGTGTCAGCCATACCGTCGCCGGAACAGCAGAATTGCCAGAACAGTGAGCGAGACAGGGCGCTGGAGCAGAGGGAGAAGCCGTCCCTGAGGGAGAAGCCGAGGGTTACGAGGATCCCATCGTTCTCACGCAGAAAAGAGGAGCCGGGAATTGAAAAGCCGTCGTACGCGGAAAAGACAGAAATTGTGCAGAGAGTGGAGGCGACGTCCGGTAAAATCACAAACGCACCGCCGACGTTCGACGTCAAGTCAGGCATACCGACGCCGACGACGACGACGGCGGCGGCGGCGGCAACGTCGAAGAGCGAGAAGACCTCCAGCACGGACTCGTCGTCCGCCAGCAACGGGAATTCCAGTGGCTCGAATACCGGTACGATCAAACGCAAGCCGACGTGCAAGAAGTAATTGCCTCGTGTTATTTACATTGCGCCTTGTTTTGCAAATGTAAATGAAATGCAGGTGTACCATTCCGACCAAGTGTCGATGCGATCCTCTCATAATCCTCGATTTTCCTCCACAAAGCAGTTGCAAGTATTCATTATAACTGCAATGAAATTTATAAAGAAAAAGACACGATCTTTCGTTTAAATAATTTTTCACGTAAACTGCAAACGAATTCTTAAACGAGGAAACAATTTGGAACTTTTCTCATTCAAATGATGCAGAATTTATAATAGGATTTTTTTTTAGAATTAGTATTATTTATTATTATGTTAAAAATATGGGCGTTGTGCAGTAACATGTATTAAACTGCATTTTAACTATTGCACTTCATCTGTGTAGAATTCTTCATTTTATTGTTATTGTTAATCGCTATTTTTCCATGACTAATTAAAATTATACAAAAATAGAGATGTACGCAAATAATTGTGTATCGTGTAAATAATAATACTATTAACGTTTAAGACGCTTTAAACAACGCGATAATAATCATTAAAATTTAAGTCCGTAAAACAAATTATACGTTCACAAGACTGCTCCAGCGAGCGTTGTCGATTCTTTGAACGACTTTACTTAATAAGATATTATACAATTTATTAGATTGTACCACACACATAAAATTGCCAACATTTAGTTAAAAGTGAACTGCGATTAGTCACAAATTTCCATAATGTAGAAGAAAGGCATTGATACCATTGTACCATTTTGCTTTCGACTTTGTAACAATATCGTGCTCCTGTACTTCTTTTAATTATCGAGTTGTTTTTATTACTGTTTATGTTTTTTTTATGAAAGTAAACAATGTAATGTCTTTGAAAGAGTTGAAACATTTTTTGTATTTGAATTTATATTGGAACGTGGCGTAGCTGATTGTGAAACTGGAAATATTAATTCAGCCTTCGGGCTTTGTTAATAAAAAGACTATTCAATGACGGTTTGAAAAGAAACAAAACATTACCCAATCGAAAAATATTAATTGGAAGATTTGAACAATTTGTACAATTTAAAAACGCCAAATTTTATCAAAATAAAATACGTTTCTCAATATCCTATTGAGAGAAAACTATTAATATTGATGGTGCATATTTGTGCATTATTGCATTTTTCAAGAATTTTACAGCTTTCTATTTTAACATATAAAAACGGCAATCACAGATTTCATATGATACAATCTAATAATTAGATACATGGCTAGTTAGACGTTAATAATGTTGAAGGCGCTCGCGGTTTTATACGCGTGTAACTTTATACGATGAGAATAAATGTTTTTCGTACTTTTCCAGGAGAAAACCCGGAATAAGAATAAATCCTACTCGCAATTCATCATCCCTCGCCCTCCATCCTTTTGCATGTAGATGCCGCGCCATGTATCCCGCGACTTTACATGCGTCTCGCAAACTTTGTTATTAAGTGAAGCAGGAGGGGGGGGGGGGGTCTAAGTCGCGGTGCGGGGAGAACGGCAAGGTGAATCGGGACAAAGTGGTTGGCGAGTTCTCACTTATATTACCGCCGGATCAAATTGATTTTCAAAGTTCGCCCGGTAATGGGATTCTCTTCGTCTTCAACCGCCGCCGCGCGGAAAGGAAAAGGCCATTTTCACGCTAACCCTCCCTCCTACCGATCCCCCATCTTCCTCGTCACCTACAATCAGTCTGCCTCTATCTCCTTTCCACCATCTTCTTTACTCTCCTTTTCTCGTGTTTTCGTTTCATCTCGTTCTACGTCATTCGATCCGTTCGAAAGCGTCGCTCTCATCAGGCTTGAAGAAGCGAGAAAAAATGGGATGAGTGTTTTGATTGTTGGTGAAGCTTTCATTTTATGAGTTTTAATAAAATTGGTATTCTTTTCAATGATATAAAATGTTAATGGAGAAAGAAAAAAAAAAAGATAAGATTATGAATATTATTAATTCAAAGTAAGCGCGACAATTGGCGTCGCAAGAACATCAATAGTGTGTGATTTCTGATTAGAATAAAGCTTCAACAAAATTTTACTGCTAAAAAAAAACATGAATTTTACACTGAGCAAGAATCTCACTACGAATTGTTGACCTAACTATACGTGTGAATCTTGTAGTTTGTGTCGGAGAAGTTTATCCAGTTTTAGCAGGCTGAATTGCAAGATATGTGCAATCTGACAGCGATAACTCGGTTGTATTCTACGGAGTTACAGTATGCATCGCTAAGTTAGCGTTTAGATGCCGATGTCGTCCCGTGCCTTATGCAACAGCGCGTAACCAGTAATCATCCACCGCGCAATGGGGAAACCTCGTCGTGTTGTAGTTGTCATGATAAATGCGTGGCAGCGCGTAACCTCGTATTGTCAGAATGATGTATAATACTATCAGAAGTAACGGAGGAGACAAAAGGATTATGTCTCGTTTCAGAAGCTCATTGTCAAACTCAAAGTTCTGTGGGATTTTCCTCTCAATTTGTTGTTTAAAAATTTTTACTTGAACAAATTTTGTCTCTTGTGACTTATTCTATACAAAATTAATTTTATCGGAAATCAGTGGTCAGTGAAATTGATTTTATCGCTAACATTTTGTATGAAATTGACGTTTGAAAACTACAATTTATTTGTGTGTAATGCAAAAAATTCGTTAAGCAATAAAAATTGATCTTTTGTTTGACATTATAATAAGAAGGTATCGTTTTATTGGATTTGTATTGTCGCAAGCTGCTGTTAAGCGTAATCTGATATAGGTAACAATTAAAAACAACGTTGTGATAAGAATAATTATACAGAAACTTAGATTAAAGTTAGAATAAATTATAATAGCCCAAGTTTTTATAATTAAACTGCATAAGTTTGCGATAAGCGCGCCGACGTCGATGAGAGGGATAAATTCCGTGTCGTGATTATCTGCGGCACGCGCGTCTAATTATCGCACGATAATCAGCGATTAAGCACGAACCAGCGCAGCAACCTCATTATTATGCTCTGGACGGCGTCGGAGGCGCTGCGAATGCATAGGTACATAATTTCGTCTTCCCTGTCTGAACCAATTAATAAATTTGCACCGACCGTCCGCCCACGGGACAAGGTCGGTCCGTCTATTTCCACTGGCGGCCATTGTTTCCAAGACAATACCAGCTACTTGGCAGTTAGAATACATTGTGCTGCCTGAGAGGTGGCTACTGAACGCGATGTCAGATTAATTAGATTTGGAAACGACTACACAAGGTGTTCCTAAGTAACTGTACCTTCCTCTAATTGTAATTCACGAATAATTAGAAATAACTGCATTAAAAAAAGAAGAAAAAAATACAGTTCTACTACTTTAAATGAGAGATAATTGTTATGTTGGCTAATTGCGACGCAATTTTCTTCTGTGCTCAGAAGTACGATAGTCGTAATTGAGGCACTATAATATTTTTCTGTATAAAAATTATTGGAACTACGGATGTTTTTCTAAATTTCTGTCGGTTATTCGTGCAATATTAATCGTTGAAAAAATCTGTGGATAGATAAAAACAGTCCTTGCATTTTCGTAAACAATTCCTTTTTTAGTCTTAATTTATATAAAGGAAATAAGCAATGATAGTACAAATTAAATAGCAAAGACAATTGAAAGGACCGGTCATCTTCAATTGCGACAATTTGGCGAGATTTTATAATCTCTATTGTTTTTCAGGATTTCAATTCCAAGGATTTTCAAATTAAAGTCTAAGAACAATATCCAAACGACTTGAAAGAATTATAAACCTGAGAAACCAAAGGAAATCTTAAAAATAAATAAAAATCTACGGTTAAAAGACTCCAGGTTTGGTTTTAGAAAACCAAAGGTTGAAGATCAAAGGGAGGAAAGAAACAAGTCCGAGGAGCTGGCCGAGAGAATTCTTTAGCAAGACTGACAAATATATATATATATATAAAGAAAATATCCCTAAATGGAAGCTCAATTTTACCTCAGAATATCTTTGATTTATGAAAAAACAATTTCAATGTCTATGACGTGTTTGAGAGTTGTCCGATGTTTATTCTATTTTGTAACGCATGGCTTCTCATTTCTCTGACATCCTTTCTCTTAATGAATACATTTATTTAGCGCCTGTTTTTTATATCGTACAAGCAAAAGAAAATTAAATTAATTTTTTCAAATAATTTATAAATATAATATTTGATCAAATATACTATCTATCAAGATTTTTCAAGAATTTCCACTGAGTTGCACAGCGGCTGAAAAGATGATGAAGCTTTCCAGTGTAACTAATTGGCAACCAACATAGGCTTAATAATTCTTTATTAAGAAAGTTTCGAAGGATAACTTTATTAATGTTTGTACCTGTTCGACAGATGCCATGGGCGATCGAAGTTGAAAATTGTTCATCGTCGCGGCGACATTCGATAGCAACTTGCGGCAACACAAATCTAATAAAAAAGTACATGTACACCATAATATTATTACTATAGATGAATTCTTGCCATCTAACAATCGAGTTTCTTGCGCAAAATGTTAATGTTATATATACTTTAATATATAAAAATATAAATTGATATAACAAATATAATTTAAAAATCCTAAAAATATTAAAATTCTTGAAATTTTAAAAAGTATCTCTGACTTTAATTTAAAATTGTTTTAAAATTTCATAAATTCCTAAAATATTTTGATAATTTTGCTGAAGTTTCATATATTTGTAAAGATTTTCGAAATACTTATTTTTATATCAATTTTACATTTTTTATGGTTCTTTGCATCGACAAATGGTTCTGCTTTGGCAGTAAAATAACAAAACAATAGGCATTCGTTTATCGATGCTTGATTGTCGACATTAAGTATTGACTCAAATTTTTGATATTTGCAAATTTCGCCTGGATATATAATAATTTTCCTATTGTAAAATAATTTTTACAATTATAGGAAAGCAAGATGAAATAAAACCAAACAAGCTTTTTTCTTTGAACATTCGCTGGTTTCCATCGGCCAGTCTTTGTGGATCTTCATTTCCATTCGCGAAGTAAATCGAATCTCGGTCTGTGCGCTTTTTCGTTCTATTTTCACTTTGACAGAAGTGGGAAAGGCACCTCGAGAAGTGCAACTCGGCGTCGTTGCTTGTTGCGAGACGTGAATGTGATTTTGTCGCTGCCGCTGGCGGCTCGTTAGAGCGAAAATCTTTCTACATCGGTCGTTCCGAATTACCTGAGAATTTTTTATGGTATAGTTTGATGGTGACGTGTAATAAAATTGTAATTTGTAATAAGTAACAAAATAGATTATTCAGCCACTCAACGCGTAAATCGAGTATTATCGATCTCTGTATGCTTCCTAATTTCTTAAAAAGGATTTTCAAACACACACAGTATTTACTAGATTTTCTCCAAGTTTTATTATTTAGTCTCAAATTTACTGATTAAAATTGTATTCTAATAAAAATTATTAGTATTAAGAATAACGCAAAAATGAATTGTCTTTTTCTTAGTAATAAAACATTACTTTTTTTCCACGAAAGTCGCATACTTAACAAATCAATATTTAAATATTAATAAAACAAAATTGCAAATTACACAGTGTCCAAGAACACAGTGTCCTTAGAACTTTGTTTAAATATCTCTATAATTTATGATAGATCTTTTGCAAGCCGAGAACTCCTCGTTTAAACTATCAAAGGATCGCTTACCATAGGCCTCACCAGCATTCGTTATTCACTACGATCCGATTACTCAAGTTTTGGAGTTTCTCGCGGAGTATTCTAGATGTTCTCGTTAAGAACATCGACCGAGTTACGGTTTCCGGTTAACCGCTCTCTTCAGGCTCGTCTTCAACGTCGTCGCGTCGCGCCTCGTCTCGCCGAGCAAATTGAATTTCGTTCTCAGTCATTTCCGCGGCTGAAACCGTGGTCGGGTGAGAAGCTGTCCACCCTTCGGTTGACAAAGAGCACAGTTTGGTCCGGCGGAAGAGACATGGCGAGTCGTTTTCTTTCATGCACTTAACATCAGCGACGTCTGCATCCTGTCTTCAGAATGCCCAGCAGAGCGATTCATCTTCCGGGGGATTAGAGCAGGTTGAACGCGTCTGAAATGGATTGGATCCTTAGAATCCAAAGTTTTTTAGATCCTTGAACTCTTTAAAATTCCTTTAGATTCTGTTGAATATTTTCCTGATTCGTTGATAATTGATAGAAATTTGATTCTCGAAAGTTACGGAATAATTGCTTTAGACAAAGTTTTTCAGTTTCCTCTGAAAATTATAAATTTTTTATAATTTTTAAAAACAAATGGAGCTTAAGAAGCTAGATATAATTAAAACTAAAATTATAATTATAATTTTAATTTAAATTATAAAATTCGAGAAATCCTGAAAAAAAAATTCTTGCATTTATCCAGAAAATAGTCATTACGCACAAAGATAATTTATTACAAGTAGATCACTAGACAATAAATCACTATGCATAGCAAAGTGGTATTTAAAAACTTTTATTCTTCTGCATTTTGTGATGAAATAAATTTCATTTGTACGCCAAAGAACTCGAGGATTCGGCCGTTAATGAAATCTGAACTCCGCCGGAAAACTTTTTCGCCGAACACTATGTACGTTGAAAAAGTTTCGAACACTCCCGCATGCCGCAGGCGGGATGGAATCCTCTGATATATCCTGTCAAATTTCGACTGCGCGCGAGATCACAATAGAGGCATGAAAAAGGACCAGAGGAGCATGAGTATATCATTCTGCCTGCTCCGTTTGCTCCGTTTCGGCCCGCTGAGTTACGCTGAACGCGCTTTGAACATGACGAATATGAGTGTTAAATTCGGTAAGGAGAGAATGTCTCGTCCCGTTTATCCTGCCTGCGAAAATTAGAGAAATTTCACATGCAAATGCTCAAGTGCTGACAGCAACATGAAAAGATTCGAAATTCCGAAGAATATATATGACAAAATTAATTTTATTTCCGCATTATTTTTTTAACAATTTATAAACCCTTCAATCTTTAACTTTTAATAATATATGATTAAGTATTTCAAATTTAATTTAAATATGTAATATGTAATATTACGCTATGTAAATCCAAGATACAAATGTATCGGAGAAAAATGTCACCTATCGTAAAAAGCTCGACCTCATATCAAAGATATTACAGTTTCATGAAAGTTAAAAGCTTCGGATTTTATCATTGCTGAATGATTAAATTATTGAACATAGATTCATGCTTTGTATCGATAAATTTCTAGAAAGCAATTTAAATATTTACGTTATTTATTTCAAGGATTGTTGATTTCTAAACTCATCGCGCTATAATGTGGTATTATTAAACTTCTATACATCACTCAATAATTTATAATATTGTTTTGTATTTGAAAATTTCTAAAATTTTCCTATTTTGATCTTTTTTTCGCTGTTTTCATTGCACTCTTAATTTTTCACAGCCACCGAAAGTGTCAAGTTACGAATATCGAGTCATGCATGGTATGTCAACGCATCAAACCACAGCATCGTCCAAAATTACAATGCCGACGATTGTAAACAACATTGTCCACTGCAGATACAACTGAACCTCGATGTGTCAAAAAAGTTTTCCACCACTTGGACATTCAACTCCAATTTTGTTTAGCGCAATGTAATACTTTTTTGCTCTTCACTATAACAAAAAGTTCTTTTCATAGAATGGTTACATATTTTTTTCTATGTATAAAAAAGTATGCGTACCTAATATACATTTAAAAGTAGAAGTTTTAAAATATGGTAAAAATGCACCAGTTTTTCTCAGTTTAAATTTTACGCTGCTGCATAAATGTTGAAAATGCTATAAATCTGCGAATACAAAAATTATTTTTGTTAATAATATGTAATATTCGTAATTACATGTAAAATTATTAAAAGATACATTAAATAGTATCTTGAGTATGCGCAAATTAATAGCATTCTCATTTATGTTGCGACGCAAAATTTTTCGCGCGTTCTTATTTGGCTCTCACGCGACCTCTTTCTGCTCGGATGAACTGGTGCGCTATTCACGCGTAAGATTAATTAGCCTCAAGATCTCGGCCAGAAGACGGTGTGAAATACCCGACAGTGCAATCGAGCAACCCAATTAGCGGTCTCGGTGCAAAGCTCTTGAGTTCTCATGGGCGACGCGAGTTTATTCGACGCGTTTGGGCTCGCAAGTCCTTCGAGAGGACATCGATCTACAAGGTTCCCGCCTTGTAAGGAGCGATACGTCCTCGACAAGTCCCTAGACAACCCTAAAGTCACTGTGAAAGGGTTCATCCGTTGGCAGAACTGAATCGATATCCGACTGTCCTTTTCTTCGCGCGTCCCCACGAGTCTGCGCGGCGCGTTTCAACGACGCTCGAGCTTTCCAGACATTCCAGCTTGCGAGGCCGGGTTACGCTTTATCACGCGATTTTCCAGCGTGATAGAATTGCCGTTGTATTATGTAGAAATTAATATTATAGTTTAGCAAGAGCAATGTTTAAATTATCATGAACAAAAAATTTGAGGTTAGTATGGTACCTATAAAATTTCTTTATACTATGTAAATATGCAATTTATTACTATATTAATTTAAAAACAACTTTTATCGCTATCGCGTTTGATTATTTTAATAGCTATCGATGTAATTTTCTTTTTCAAAGCTCGTGGAATTAGTTATTCAAGTAGTATTATTTAACATATCAAGTATTATAAAAAGATACACGATGTGTCTCGCTGTTACGCGTGAACTTGGCGCGAGACACGACCGTGTCCGTTGATATTGCATTCGATCGATATATTTTTGGTTTAAACACAAGGCAAAGTTTAATGCGAATCTGGCATGTGTGATTACGATTCAGGATCCGCAAAAGAAGGATCTGCGGGACTTTGTAACATCCAATCCCTAAGTGTAACCCGTAAAATCGACCGTAGCGCGCTCCGCAGACGAGAATGGAGGCTCTGGCGTCGCGTTGCGCGAGAGCTTGCGTAGCGTTCCATTCCGGTACCGTAGTCCGTCTCGCGAGCCTCGCGGCGACGTTACACACGTCGCATCGTGCCGGTTATCGTGCCGCCCTACCTACATCGTCCAAGGGTGAATCTTCGTGTCATCGCAGCGTCCTTCGGAGTGTCTACGGGATTGTGATAATTCGGGTGTCGTGTATTTATTCGGCGATTGCGAGCGGTATGCGCACGGACGCGTCGTCGTCGTTGTTCCTGCAAGGGTTGAAATGTCCCCTCAGGCTCACTTCCGGTAAACGCAAACCGGAAGACGTAGATCGCGCTATTCGAATGCCCAACGTCGATGTCGAGTGAGAAGCGTCACGGTATTGTTGAGGGAAGAAATCGGTAAAACGCGAAAGAGTTAAAGCGGCGATTAGCTAGGTTAGGTTGTTGCGAAAACAACTCTCTTTCTCTGTCTTTACGCTGAGAGAAAAATTCCAAATTTCTGAACTAAAATATAATAACAAATTAATCAAATTCTTTGCAAAAGCAGAAACTGGTGAAAAAAGTAAACGATATCAACGAGAAAGTTAAATAGTACGCGTGAAATTAATATATCGGCGGTATCGAACTGTTGTAAAATTTTGCCCTGCCCAATGAGGAACAAATTAACTGGTGACGAAGATGAAACGTTAGAATAAAGAAGATTCATCACATCGTAAACTAGTACAGTGTGTAGTTCGAAGATCAATTAAAAGTTTACGTGTCAATTGGACTCAACTTTTGGCTATATTGTCGCAATTATTCATAAAACACAGTGAAACAACGTTTGTGTGTGCATTGAGTGATTATTGAGGAAATGTGTCGAGTTCAGTGCGTGCAGTTCTTCCTCTTTTGATTCCGTCGAATGGGATTCTCCTCGTCTTTGAACGGTGAGTTATAATTATAATTTTACAACTCCTTTTTTTTCTCTCCCTATAATTAAAAACTAATTTCTCGATACACGTAATTATAAAAAGGAAACAGAAATACTACTTTATGTGATTCTAAAACTGAAATTTAGTTTCTTTCTTATTCAGATAGTGTTATTAATGTAAATTCAATGAAATTGCTATATTGTCATAACAGAAACGTAGATTTTACGTTTGTCAACGCAGTTATATAATTCAACATGAACATCGAAATTTCTATTTTGGTATCTATTAAAGAATTAATTATTTACATAATTAATAAGTAGAATTGCAACCACGTATTTCGTGTTTTCGACACCATTATTTCGAAATATTTTCTAACTATATATATGGATATTGTGGTTGCATTAATATTTATTAACTAATATATTAACATCAAAATAGATATTTTTGAGCAATAATTTCTATCATTTTTTAGCTTGTGAATAAATACAAAAAATATCTAAATAATTAAAAAAATTATTAACATAGCAATCAATATTATAAACAAAACGCTTTTATGGACACTTCTTCAACAGATAGAAAAATGTCTCAAAATTATTTAAAATACATTCTACATAGCCCGAACAGAGACTTTTGATCTGCTTTTTCCAAATTGACTCAAAATAGTGAAAAATATTGGCCATTTGTTGAACAACTGAAACGTTCAGCAGATTAAATTTATAACGAAAGAAGATTTCGGCGCTTCTATATTGAATTCGAAACGCGGCAGGTTAAACGGAACTTCATCGTTCCGATCTTCCACATCGCGCGGAAACATGGCGGGCGTTCTCGCTCAACAGTGAAATTCCTGTTTTTCCAACGGTGGTCCGCCGCGGGGGTTTCCGCGTTTAAATATTCCCGAAGTATGCAAATGCTGTAAATTCGCTGGAAAATATACCCGGATCCCCGAACGTAGCCCAGGCTATCGAATCGTTATAGATATCGCGGAACGTTGCACGCGCGCACACGCGAAAATGTATTAACCCCGTGGCCCGCTGATAATTTGCATAAATGGCCGACGGAATTTACGCACGACCGCCATGTCACGATCTCCGTGAGCGTTGACTTCAAAGTGGATTACAAGTTCTTGACGATTTACGTGCTCATTATGCCTTTGTGAGTTCCTGCGGTTAGTGCCGAAACACATACTCCGCAAGAAGTTTTAGGCACTTCTGGAATAAACTCCAGCGTGATATATCTTTGGCTTTAGTGGTTGCACGAGGCACGTAATGTTGTTCAACCTTTAAGTGCGTAGCTTAGCATACAATCTCTCTCGGCGCATTTCTCAAACGCTATTTATGTAAATGGAATCACACTCTCAAAGACATTTTAATATAATTTTTAGGCTTTTTAGATTTGCATCTTAAATGAGAGATTTCTTTCTTTTTTGTGTTTTTCATGGTATAAAAGTTTGAATTTTGATAAAATTTAACGCACGGTTCTGTAAGCAAGGCGATACTGTTCGCGAATCGAGCGGTGTCCTCGATGAGGACACGCATCCAATCTCGTATTCTGTATTTCCTTCGAAAATACGCCCTGTGTGTTTGCAGCGTATTGGAAAAATAATCCCGCTGTTGAGACCCGAGGTTGGCGCGAAGAGCCCGGAATGCAAATGCGTTCTATTGATAAATGCAAGCGGCTAACAAACACACAACACACGCTCGTGCGCGCGCGATTCCTATTGAATGAAATTTGTTTTGCTTACGTACATAAGACGCCTGATTTATCTTTCCCGATGCAACGGCGAAACACGGATTACGTGCCATGCATGTGTACACTTCGGTGTTCCGTCCTTGAGAAATATGCGGCGAGATTCGACAAATGTTTCAATACTTCAAAAATAATCACCGAAGTAATACGCAACAGCTGCCATCATCGCTAGAAAATCTTTCATTAACATATTGAAAAATATACACATGAGTTTAAATTTTTGGTTAAGCATTTTCATTTTCGGGCTATCAAAAAATCATTTTAATATATAGTTTTAATTAGTTTTAATTAGTTTTAATTATTTTATGATAGTTTTAAATTTTACAATTATTCTGATTTAATGATGTTTAATCAAAATTGTTGTAATTACGCTCTTAACATTTCATACTCAATTTTCATACTTTTCATAATTTAATTCTCTTTTTTTTTTTTTTGTCTTTCTCACATGAGGATTGATAACTGTCACTGAAGCTCAGAATTTCCCGATAGGATTCCGTGACTTTCTCTGCACGTCGCCACCGCAAGATTAGTTCAGATGCTTGAGAACTTATTCCATGCTGTAAATAGTCTTGCTCATGCATACCACGAGTACGCTCGCGTAGTAAGTCTTCGGTTACGTGATATCCGAGATTGAGAGGCTGATTCACACCTCTGAATAGGGCCTTCGCGCGATGATGAGACGAAAGCCGCAAGTTTTGATGAAATGCATTCTGTCCGCTGCGCTGACTGTGTAAGAAGGCGTGCGTGGGTAACGTGTGCGCTGGTTAGGCGTGCGCATGCACACGAAAGATGCGAAACGAGGGAGAGATAGGACGGGAAAGGGAGAATTCATCCCTTCGTCGGGAGTTCCTCTTCCCGACTCTACTTCGACTTCATCTCGAGTTGTCCCCGTTTCGCGCCATAATCAGAGTTCAGCCAACTTCGCTCTTTCTTCGCTTCTGCCGCAGTCTCCTTCAACTAGACGTATTACTCTTTCTCTCCCTCTTTTGCTAAAGTTTCTTTCCAGCATGAATAGAATTTTGCCGGTTCAAAAATCAAAGGTTTCAGGATCTTAAAATTGAAATTTAAGGGTTTTGTAGAGAACGTAGGGATCCAAGAACTTAAAAATGCATAAAATTACGACGATTCCCTAAAGAACTCGCGGAACGACTAAATGTCTTTAGACAAAAGTGGCATTAAAATGTAAGTTTATTTAATTATGAAATTGCCCTCAGATATCGTTTACACTTTTTTAAACACATGCCGCCGTATGAAGTTTTTATTTTCCACTTCTGCAAGCACACACTTCGGAGCTTTAAAAGATTCTTTAGAGGAAATTTATATTTTAAGCTTTGTGGATTTTAACTTTCTCGAAGTGAACGCTTTTAAACATTGGATTTTAAATCCGTTGGATTCAGCGTATCTTGAGACTTGAATAAAAGAGGCTACAACCTTAATTTCACGAACATTGCTGGATTTTAAGTATATAGAATTTTTTAGATCTTCAATCTTTTGAAGTTTAGCTTCTTCAAATAAAATTAAGACTAATTCTTATTAAATTCTTTTATGTATCCTGCAATTTTTTAAATTTTATGTTACCAATTCTTAGTACAGCATACACAGAGTTTTTTTTTTTTTTTTAATTTAAAGCATGTATAAAATCACAAAAATAATGATAGATCTAATTTTATTTCTTTCTTATTGACCGTTTGAGCTACGTAGCACTTTGCGATAACGATCGCATGACGCTAGGCGCAGTATTAATTAAAAGACGGAACTTTATTACCATCTGCGTGTTTGCAACGCAATTGAACATTGCACCGTGTCGGCGCGTTATATTCCGTCGAAAATTGCGAATCCCGCGGACGCATGGAACCCGGCCAAATGCGACGTGCACGGTATGACGCGCCGTATCTCGCACGAGTGAAAAATGTCTCACTTTACACCGTAGTTTCAGTATCACCATTTAAGTAACATATCGCGGGAACTTCGCCCAGCCATCGAGCGAGCGGGTGAGTTTAGTGCACAATGGATCGATAATCTCTTAAGGCGCACTCGATTACGATGCCGCGCGGCGTATCCGAAAATCTATTCGAAGCTGGGTAATTATATGTGAAACCGTTAATGAAAGAAGAATTGAATTTTTCAACTTTGCGTCGTCCAGGGATGCAACAGCCATATTGCCAAGATTGCTTTTTCCCCGGGAAAGGCACAATCCAATCTTGTTTCTTGTCTTTTGCGACTGAACGGCAGGAACGATTATTGTCCGCGTTGTAATTCGATTCCTGCCGCGTCCAGAGCGACGATTTGATCTCGGTCTACGTAGATGGTCTAATACCTCGGTATGTTAGGATCTAAGAAGAGAATCCACGGGGTGGCGATCGTGCTGTAGCACGCCAGGGAGTCTGCAGCGAAAACAGTTAACCCGATTGCCACTCTTGCTTCCATACCAAGCTAGTAGACAGACATTTATTTATTAAATAAAAGCAGCAATAAATTGGACCAAATATATTGAGCAAGTTGAACCAAGAATTCTTACAACTTTAAAACTAATAAATTGCAGTTATATAATTTTGACAGGTAATTCTATATAGCACATTTATATGTAAAGCGAATTAAGTGATACTTGCTCAGCTTGTGAAATTTAAAAATGGAAAATATAAAAGTAAATTTTTGCACTTTTATACTCTTTCAATCGGGATTAATTGTTATATATATAAAAATTAAAAAAAGCAAAAAGAAAAAAAAAACGACGAAATTGGCAAATCGCGAAGATAAAACTTTTTAATTATTATTTCTCCCGATTGCTTTCAAATAGTTTAAGAAATAGTAGTTTGAAAGAAAGGAGTTTTAATCTTTGAAAACTGTATCAGAAAACAACTTTGCGATATTCTACGAAAAATCAAGCAATGAGAATTTTATATGCTATACTTAAAATCTGGACGAACTTTTGGTTCAACTCAGTGTAAATTAAAAGGATGGTATTTACACTTTTGGCTCAGTTATTTGTCTCATTGATAAAGATCGAAGTTGCAACAAACGCTTCACGGCACTTCGAGTGAGTGACCCTCTTCACTTGTTGGGGGTTCTCCAAAGGGGACCGACTTGATTTATAGAAAAAGTTTGTGCTGCGCGCGAGCGAGCGCGAGCAGAATCTTGTTTCGGTAGCGTTACGCCGTTGTAAGTTCTCAGCAATCGTAAGAGTTTGGGGGCGCTCGATCTCGCGATGATCTGCTTGGAAAAGTTTGCCGGTGAATCAAGATTCGCTAAGTTTTTATTTGCCAGCGAAT